ATATATATATATATATATGCGAGAGATATAAAAGAATGATAAACATTGAACTTTTATTGATATGATTGGTGATGTTCAAAATGATTTGTAATGGAACCATCAAAAGTTAAAGAACGCTTCTAAGTGTAAAAACATTAAGGATCGACAGAATACGGTGTTGGGAGAAAATATGGAAAAGAAAACTTAGAAATACAAGAAAAATAATGTAGAAGAAAATGTTACTCGGTATAATACTATAAAGTCTAATATAATTGATTCTGGTATTATAGGTGTATTTTTGCATTGTACTTTACTCATCTTGAATTCTTATTACTGAAATACCACGTTTTAAGTAGAATACTTTACTAATGTATCTATCAATATAACTAATGCAGTATACTTCAAAAGATTTGTCTTTCCAACTTCTTCATTATATATTTTGGCGAATGAAGTTGTTACATTTAACATTCATTCTATCAATTTTATCTCGTAGAAGTTTTACTTTCAGTCGATCTAAGTTTTCGGATCAAATATTTTTTTTATAGTTAAAAGAACGCGAAGAAAGGTAATTAGTTTAATCGTAAGTGTGAACATTGTTTTTTTGTTTACAGTACTTTTTAACAAATATAACTTAGTTCTAATTTTATTTAATCCATGTTTAAGCATCTACCCCTCTTTGAGTGACATTTGGTAGAGCAGAAAACATTTTCTTTTTCACATGGACATGTTTTTATTGCACAATTGTCTCGACAAGTACAAGTACGTCCTGTTGTTGAACCACGAGAATAAATTTTTAAAGCTTCGATAATGGTAATAGGCTTAAGTTTGTCGATATTAACAAGTTTCAAATCAGTAGGATAAGCATCCTTCAGATTTATTAATTGTCCAGCTTCATAGGTGTTGTTTAAAGACCTATACTGACCAAATCAATTTAAATAATAATATATTATTTCTTTCATATTTTTCAATAATGATACATGGCAAATATTTTGGATCTGTATTTGTTCCATCAACAGAATGAATTTCAATATTAACACAATCATTCAATTCAAATTTGCTTCCCATAAGCTTCAAATTATCTTGATGTAGTTTTATTTTCTTATTTGCAGTTGCCAGGTAATGATCTGTGACAACTGTACAAATTGCAAAATGTTTTGTTGGTGTACTAATTAATGAATGAGAACAAGCATCAACAGATAATTCACTAACTAGATCAATTAGATCATCAATTCCATTATCATATACTAACTCTCAAAAATCAGATTCACTAAGTGGTGCCTGTTCAAACATTAATGCATAAGGAGTGGTTTTAGTAACAGTAGATTGCCTGGTACTGATTCCATATATAACAGACAATAAAGTAGAAGACCAACTAGAAGAATTCTTAGTATCCATCCATTTACCGAGAGCATTACATAAAACTTCGTTTACTCTTTCGATGCAACCTTGGCTTTGTGGATATCTCGGCCTACCACAAATGAACAGGTGTGGGTGTCTATCATCTTATAGCCCACCTACTCACACCCATCCTCAAGATGCGATCTATTTAAATCAGTTCTTTTTCTTTTACTTTGTTCAGTATACCTATGACACTCTACAAATAATTGACCAACAGTCCATTTAGTGGCGTAACCAGAAATAAGTTGTAGGGGGGGGGAGGGGGTGGCTCATCATCATATTCTTGATGTCTAGAGGGAACTCGAGTCGTTTTTAATCAGAGTTTAAATATTCGTAGAGAGTGCTCGAGCCCTCTTGTCCCCGTCTGGTTACGCGCCAATCTGAATAAAATCCAAGTTCGCTGTTACTTGGCAAGCAAACTCTAATAAAAAATGAGTGGAAAATACTTATAAATAATTCAATGCTTATTAGATTTTCTGAAAGTACCCTTGAAACTTCATAAATATGAGAATTTATTATCATTTTTTTTTAAATATCAATTTATATTGAGAAAAAAAGATATTTTTGATGTAAAAAATTATATTGGTCAATCATCCATACCTTTTCATCTGGAAATGACATTTATTGATTAACTTTTTGAACTTTATTAATTTTTTTAGATTTTTGTTCTACTCTATGTACATTTGTTTCTTTTTTATTTACATGACTCATTTGATTTGATGTCCATGGTAGTTGGCGATATTGTTCGCGTTGAAATTGTGTTCGTTTACACACAAGTTTCATTAATTTAGTTAGTGGTTTAGCAGACATTTTTTTATTTCGGATACAAAAATATGAAAGTTTATTAGAATTAACGATAGATTTGTTTAATATCTGGAAGTAAATAATAAAAGATAATTTTTTTCTATTGAAAAGTATTGTTTTTTGGAATAACGAAAAAAGTCAATATGGAATCGATTTTATTAGCAGTTTGCGTCTTATCATGTACTAAATTTGAAGAAAATGAAATTACCTTCAACACATTAACTCAAGCTCGCATCATAATATTCGATTTTATTTCAGTTATTGATCTTTAAAATAACCTATAATAATTTTTTTTCTATAGAAGTTCTCTTTTAATGATCGATATCGATTTATTTTGCTTGCTTTGTTTATGAACATGAAGTCACAACAGAGCAGTTGACTTCATGTTACTCCAATGACTCCAAATGGCTTCGAATTCGTGAAATCATGAGGTCAGCTATCTCAGCCATGATAATTATGTCTAGTAAAATGACTATTTGCGTTATAGTTACGTAGTCATCTGTATTCTGTTTAGAATATGTATACATAAGTGAATTTCGATTCCTGGATCATATTCTTGCAGTGTAGACACTAATCGAAATATCAGCTCATTCGATTAGATCGAAACTATATTTCAGATTCAAACACCAAAATCAGAACGACGAGAATTCATTTATATATATAATTTCAATATTTTATCTAGATTTATATCGAGATCTTTGTTAATGTAAGCAGCTGCAAGTCTATTTACCCTATTTTATTTCACGAGAATTGATTGAAACTTCTCTCAGCAAAAGCTGCTGATACAGACTTGCTCTGTGTTCTTGTATCCCTTCTCTTTGATCTATCTTTCTGTACCTTTCCGTGGTTAGCGTTTTCCCAATAAAATCGAATTCATGTTCACCCAAGTACATGTGAGCTTCAAATGGAAGAAAAATGACTACACCTACAATGCGGACACTTTTTTAACCAATTGAGATAAAATTTTTGCATTATAGAATGAAGAAATAAATTTATTGCGTGAAGAAAGACAAATACAAGTAATACAATATGATGCAATATTTAATTATGCTGTGGTTCATAATCTTCTTCATCTTTGTCAGATGTATTCAATACGTGAATGTATTGGTAACAAAGAGAGCACAGTCTTTTCGATAATCATTTAAATCTAGTAGACCACTTAAATAATATTCTTTTGCTTGTACTAAAATGTTTTCATTATTAACTGAAGTTAACCTTTTTGAACAAGTTGTTTGTTGTTGTCTGTGTTCCCATTCTAGGCGCATCATTACTGATTCATAAGCCTCTTGAATGGGAAAGCGACAATTCGTCGACGAAAAGATTAGTCGTATATGAGATAGACCTGTATTCCAATTTACTAAATTACAAAAATGTTACACACAAAAATACGAAAAACAATTAACAATAAGTTATGACTCAAAGTCAAGTGCAAGTTCTTCTATTTGTTTAAGTAATGTTCTATGTGGGGAGAGTATTCGGTTCTTTAACCGCTTAGGTTTATCAAACCCAACTACCTAATCATTAGGTATTCAAAAACTGATCCATTTCTGAATCTCCTTTCCGTTTTTCAACAAATTAAACATTAATGTTTCAGATTGTTCTGATAAACTAATTAAAATCTAACAGACAACTGGTGTATTCGTGTATAGACTGATACCTTACGACTTATATTCTATTCAACTAATTGGTACATACCCCTCTTGAACATATCGTATCCAAAATGAAATGGTAGGATGTGTTGGACGATGAGAATTCAGCTGCCCATGATAACCTTTAATATGATTGTTGGTCTTCGGTCGTA